ACTATCTCAAATTCATCAGTCAGGACTGAAAACTGCATGACATACTTTGAAACAGAGTGAAATCAATTTTAGGATCACATAAGTGACATAGTACTACATCATCAAAACAGAGTTAGCAACTTTTCGGATATTCTTCATACTACATCCGAAAGTTTCAGGTTCAGTAGTAGCAACTTTATAAAATTTGAATGCTCTTTCTCTTCCCGCAAGTCTCGGGATTGAGTTTGAACTCTTCCTCCACAAGATTTTTTACTAATATTGTGAGAAATAGAGCATTTCATCCGTTCTAAAAACATTATCAAGAAACTATTCTTCTCTCGTTCTCTTTTTTTTAATATCATTTTTTTTCTAGATTTATTTTATTATCTGTATAAAGATAATTCTCTTAAAAAATTTATTTATTTTATTATTATTATTATATATATTTTAGTTTTCTTTTTTTATTTTTCTATAGCTAATGGCCCCGGGTCTTTTTCATTGATTCTCATAAATATTAAAAAAAAATTCTTTATTTAAATTTATTTGATTCGAAAAATTATATTTGTAATTAAAAAAAAATAAAAGATAAAACCAAAATAGTATCTTGCGCAGTATAAGTTCTTAAGGACATCAGTCACCTTTTATACAACACAATCAATATTGACATCACCATCGGAATAACAGACAACTTCCTAAAACCAGCCACTAGCTTTTCAAAATCATTAGTATAGTCATCGTCATAAGGTTCATATACACATCCAACAAAATCAAGTGATGCATCACCAACTTTCCCGGCCAAACATTGCAACCTCTTGCAACCTTCTTTGTGAAAGTTGGAAGATTACCAACGTGTGCCTATTTTTTTTTTGTTACTTTTTCCTTAAGCCAAAGTGGGTTAGTTCTATCATAAGGTCTATAAATAGACCTTCATTTGCTAACATTTTCTCTTTTTGTCCTCTCTATTAGTTTCATCTCTTCTCTTTTTCTTTTCCAATTATATTTTAGGTTTATTTAGAGTTTCTTAGTTATATATTCTCGTAAATCTTTCGAAAATTCTTGTTAAATCTTGTTTGTTCCTAGTTTTTTTATCTTTTGTCAGTTTTTCTAAGACAATTTTAAGGATCTATAACTTATATCAATAACTCAGTCTCAGAAAATAAGAATATTGTTTCCGAAACTAAAACGATATTTTTCAAACTTTTTTTTAAAGATGTATAAAAAATCAAAGTTTTCTCTGGTAAGAATTTTTAGCATCAAATAATTTGTAATGGTTGAATAATTTCTATTTTAGTGCTTTAGTACTAATTCTTTGCCTTTCCTTGGGAATGCAGGTCAGTTGCAATTATCATGATCAAAATGCTCGAGTTCTTATCGAAACAGAAAAGGGTATAATTTGTAAAGCTGGAGAAAACCTTACATCCTATGCATAGGAAAGTCATCCACCCATCTTGTGTCCATTTAAATGTTTTACTCGACGCTTTCACAAAAGCTAGGTTGATGGATGAAGCCAAGAGGGTTTATGAGGAGCTATCAACTTTTGGTACAGTTCCTGATCTTGTATGTTATCGTACCCTGCTGAAATGTGGAAAGCATGAATGAACTATTTTGAAAGCATACGCGAGTCAACAAAAGGCGAAAACTTCACCATGAGTAAAGCTGTGCATTCTTACAAATCTGCCGAAAAGCAATGTAAAGCCAAGCTAAGGAAAGACTAATTTTAAAGAACAATGGAATCCCATTCTTTAAGAAAGTTGAGGTTGTATCAGGAGAGTGAAAACTCCATGAGATACTTGTGTATGTGAGAAGAATTATGATAGTGGAACAAACTAATCAGCCTGGCAATGGTTATGGTGGATGTTACATGTATGCTGTGGGTACATCATGATTGCATGTATGTTCAGAAGTACTTTTGTGAGGGGGATGTGATTCACGTTTTACTTTTTGGCAATAGTCATAATATGGAGAATTATGTTATAATAGAATCTGTGTTGCTTCGAATCTCTAAAATTAGGATGTTCAAAATTCATTCAAGTGCACTAAACTATCAAATAAATGTATTATATTATACCACAAATTTTGAACTCTTTAGATTTAAAACTAAACTCTACCTTTTTATAGTTCAATTTAAAAAAAATTGAACTCTACCTTTTTATAATTCGGTTTTAAAAAATTGAACTTCTAAAATTAGGTTTAGTTAATTACTTATTAATTTAAAAATAGTTAATTTTATATTTTTTACTTGTTTCATTATAACTCAACCAAATTTTGGCTGGGACTGAGTTGATTGAATTTAGTTGATTGAATTTAGTCAATTTTTAGTTCAAAATTGACTTAATTGAGTTTCAACACCTGTTGTCTCAACTGAATTTGACCGAAGTCGAGTTAATCGAATTCAGTCAAATTTTGATTGAGATTAACTCGATTGAGATTTGGTTAAGATAGTCTTGATTGAATTTGGTTGATTTTTTTTTTGTGATTGTTCTAATCAAATTTGGTTGATTTTCGATCGAGGACGACTTGACCGAATTTTGGTCGGGATTGACTCAATCGAGTTTCGACCATGGACGTCTTGACTGAATTTGACCGAAATTCAGTCAAGATTGTCTCGACATCTTGCCAGACCTAGCGCATCTCAACTTTGGTCCGACCCATTCCATCTTGACTTTGGCCTATGTCAACTCGTCTCGACCTTTAATCTTGTCAAACTTGTTTCCACCTTGGGTCCAACATGATTTGTATTGACATTTGGTCTAACCTAGCTTGTCTTAATCTTTCGTCGGACTCGTTTCGAACTTGGATCAAGTTGATTGGTATCGACCTTTGCTTTGATCCAACCCATCTCGATCTTTAACATATCTCAAAGTTGTGTTGCGTAAAAAAGTAGAAAACAAAAGAATAGTTCAGTTTGTTTGACCGTGTATATAAGTGCAGTTCATTTTGTCTACTTCTATTCTTAACTTTGTATAAGGAGTTTTAGATTGAATTTAGCTTGTGAAATTGGCCTGGTTTGACTGAAGGTGTATTAGGAACTAAAATCCTACCTTTTGTCTCGTTTTGGTTCATTTTTGCCGTTGTATATGAAGTGCTTCATGCTACTTTGGCAAATGCTGTTCGTTAGTTACAAATAAGCAAATATAGTTTACCCTTCTAATCCATTTATCTTGTTTTAAATTATGAATTTGTTGTCATAGTGTGAAAGCCAAAAGGGTGAGGAAAATGAAGATCATTTATGGACTGTGTTTCATTGCAATATATCACTTTCAAAAGCTGCATAATCTCTCTCAAAATTCCTCTCGGGTTTAATTCTGCTGCTAAAAATGGGGCTTCACATTGAGGAATCCAACCGTCTTTCCAAACTTCAAAAGACTGTTATGATTGAGATGAAGAATCTAGAAATACTGTACTGTTGTAATTTTTCTTGTACAATATCTGTTTGATATATGAATATATCTAATATTATTTGTATATTATCCCTATCATCGGCAAAATCAATTTGTTTTATTTATATCACACTTATCAGTTGGCTTATCGAATGATAAGATAAGAGAAGTTTGTCCTTTCACGCAATTGAAAGATCTTCACCCGAAAAGGATCACTTCTTACAATGATGCAGAAGCAAGTTGTGCAACTTGCTGATACGTGTTCATTTTTTAAATAAAAGCAACTTGTGTCACTTGCTGATACATGGCCAACTTTTAAAACAAGAACGGATTCTGCACAACGAGAGGGAATTTGTAATTTTATATTAAGTTTTTAATATAAGACGATAAGAGAGAAGTTGTTTAAAAAAATATAATATTTGACTCATGCCAACTAGGAGATTAAGATTCCCAATATTACATGAAGTGGTGATCTAATCTCTTTAGCCCTTAATATTTTAGGTTTAATACTTTTTTTTTTTCCAATTTTGATGGAGAAACAATAAGCAATACAAATTCTGGTGTCGACTTCAGAAATACTTCCAATGGGGTCGCCGCCAGCAACGATGACATCTATGATGAATGATGTGGGCGCTATATTGTTGCTGGTGGGTGAGAAAACTTAACGATTTTTTGGAAGATCATGCGATTTGGGGGTTTAACAGGTGCTCTATTCTCGCGGAGAGGAGCTTGTGGTGGTGGATTGCGGTTGATGCAATAATTCACGGCAGCGCGGTGAGGCTGAAGAGGTGACGGGCAGACGTCGAAGGTGGAGAGGTATGAAGAAAATGGCAGCTCTGGAACGGCGGCGACGTCCGATTAATTTTTAAAAGAAGAACCCTAATATCAGAAATAGAATTTCAAAAATAATAAATTCAGCTCACTACCCCTTAAGGACTCCATGTCAGCCAATACATTACATTTCACTTTATAATTGCACATCTGGACATCTAGCCGTTAACGATTTAAACGGTGTTTGCAAAAAATACTAAATTGAATACAAATTATATTCTTTAACACTACATTGAAGAACAACAAAAAAATTAGGACCATTTTGTGCATTCTCTTCCAAAATTGAGACGAAAAAAAGGTATTAAACCAATATTTTATTACGTAAATGTAATAATAATTAAAAAAATGTAGTGTTTGATGTTTTCCTTTTGTTGATATTTTTATATACTAATTTTTTTTTCTTTTTCTATTAAGACGGCAATGTTAACTTTCATTTTAGTTGATTTATAGGATCTTTCTAATGTCTACTTGCGTTCTCAAATAAATTATACCAGGCTTAGAGTGTTTGGCTTTATGACAGAAAGTAGAAAAATTGTTTTATTTGGAGTCAAACTTGTAGTTATTAAAGGTTAGATATTTGTTGGTAAATGAATATTTTTGTCGCCGTGCTTTGATTTGTCAACTGTAAAAAACTATATTTTTTTAATTAGGTTGGAAAATGTATAAAAAGTTTAAAATGGAAAGTCACTCCCTTTTGAGCATTGGTTTAGAATATTAAATCTAAAAATTATCCCTTAAAGCGAGTACTGGGAAATTGAATAAGTAATCGTTAACAGAAAGTCATGGTTGTAGTTAAAAAGGCTTCAGCTTTCAGGTATGTGATACAAGCCACCATGGATATTTATATATTTTATTATTATCAGAGATTTTTCGTATATATAGGTGCAGTGATTTCACTGTATTGATAAAGTTGAAGGATTAGGAAAATGGGTATCTGCATATCAGTTTCAGAAAAAGATGATGATGAGAATGTGATACTATTTGAAGAAAGGAAGAAGGTCCTGAATGGGAGTCAGAGACTCTTCTCTGTTTACTCCAAACAGGGTACCAAAGGACTCAACCAAGATGCTGCCTCTATTCACCAGGTTTTTTCTGCAGTTTCATTGTTCAAACATCAAACAAATCACAGAATTTCATGTTTTTTTTTCCAATTTCTTAGGAGTTTATGCATCTCAAAGACATAAGTTAAAATCATGAGATTTTAAAATGGTTTTAGAAATCAAACCAAGTAATAATCCTTAAAAGGCCAACCTACCTTTGATTGCCTGTTTTTATAAGTTTGATGTCTGCATTTAAAACAGTTTTGCAAATCTATGAATAGAAAAATCATGATTTTTGAAATAACTAAAACAAAAGATCAACAGATGTACTGTACATGATCATATGGTTATGAACTGTTTTCTCTTGCTTTGTCAGTCTGATTAAGATTTGTTGAGTACATAATCATTTTCGTGTGCATTTTCCTAAAAAAAAAAGGGTTATGGAACGGAAGATGGAACATTTTGTGGCGTTTATGATGGTCATGGAGGGAATGGACACAGAGTGAGTAAAATAGTAAGCAGACAATTATCTTCCCTCATTCTGGAACAAAAGAATGCTCTTGAAAAGATTGATGCTATAGAAAATGGTTGTCACAACACCACCCCAAAAGACCATGTTGGCACAATGAAAGAGAACTCAGATGCAAACAACTTTCAGAAATGGAAAGAAGCAATTGTTAGTGCCTTCAAGGTGATGGAGAAAGAGGTCAAGCTTCAACATAATCTAGATTGCTCTGGCAGTGGAACCACTGCTGTAACTATCATAAAACAGGTAAAAAGTTTGCCAGAAACTAATCTTCTTTTGAACACATTACTAAATATCACAAAGTTTTAGTAAACTGATTATATTTTATCTAATTTCTATTATAATTTTTATTAAGTTTCAAGAGAAATGACCAATTACGAAACATGAAAAAAAAAATAACTACACCTCCTTAATAAACTTCCTATCAATTTTCATGGTTATTGTGAAAAGAACATGATGAATAACAATACACAGGGTGAAGGTCTTATCATAGCAAATCTGGGCGATTCGAGAGCAGTGATGGGAACGATATGTGAAGAAAAACTCGTAGCCACCCAATTGACCACGGATTTGAAGCCCGAGTTACCTCGTAAGATTCTTCTTGTAAACTATATATACCTTGCAGATTCTTCTTCTGGGACACCACTTTTCTTGAGGTCTAAACCTGAAATGCTTGTACTAATAGCACTTTATGGTAACAAAGTGTAAGTCAATAAAATTAGCATTTTCCTTTGTTATCAGAAACTTTAAAAGTAAATTAATATAATATTTTTAATAAAATGACTTTAAATATATTTTATATATTAAATGATGTTAACATTTGAATTAAAATATGTCAAATTGACGTAAACAGCTAAAATTTTAGTCTAAAATATTATTTAATATGTTAAAAAAATTTAATATAATTGGATTAAGATAATTATATTTGTTTATTCTTAAAGTTTAATAATCAAATCGTTTCAAAGTTTGAGACGGTAAATTCAAATCAAAGTTTAAGGATTAAAAACATGTTTAATTTTTTAAAATAATATATTTGCAGAAACTTCTGGTTTATACAAATAACAATGCATTGGAAGCTTTAAGAAGTTGATTAAAGTTGTTTGCATGCAAAACTATTAAAACCAAGTAAATTTATTTGGAACCAAATTAGAATGCAGGAGAAGCAGAAAGAATAAGAAGGTGCAATGGTTGTGTGTATGCATCAAAGGAAGAACCAGAAATCCAGAGAGTGTGGATGCCCAACAATGAACACTCCCCTGGCCTAGCCATGTCTCGATCTTTTGGAGATTTCTTGCTCAAGGATTATGGTGTTATTGCTATCCCAGATATTTCTCACCACCCTTTAGGATCAAGTGATCAATTTATTGTTCTTGCCAGTGATGGGGTAGGTGATATTTGCAGAACAGTATCTGAAGTTTATCTCTTAAATAAACTGTTGTACAGTTTGTCATATTAGTAAGATTTTCGAAGAATTGTATGTTCAAAAATGTTTTGTTGTGTTTATCTCTTTCATTACATCATTTGTTACCTTTTAACTTTTTCTTTGTTCCTAGTATAATTTGTTATACAACTTATAGGTTATGCAGCATTTCTTATTAGAAATTGTTCCCTGTTATTGTGTGTGGAATTAGCTAGTGGAGTGTATTTTTGCACAAGCATTCTATAAGGAACTTTTTTTTTTTGGTTTTTCTTGCTTATAGGTGTGGGATGTACTAAGCAACAACGAGGTTGCATCAATTGTGTGGAGTGCAGAGAGTGAAGAGGTTGCAGCAAGAGCAGTAGTGGAAGCAGCAACTGCTGCATGGAAAAACAAGTTTCCTTCATATATGGCAGATGACTGCACTGTGGTTTGTCTCTTCTTGCACCAGAAACCACAGCTTCAGCCATTTCAAAACTAACCTTCGTTAGTCAGTGTTCCTTCACTAATATTCTGGACACCATTTCCTCAAATCATGCTTTGTGAAACTAGATGAATTGAAAACTAGATGTTTTTAGCAGGGGCCAAGAAACTAAGAGGAATTGCTTCAATCACTGATAGATATTGCATGTATTTCAGCGAGCGTTTTGTAGAGTTAATTTTAAATAAAATTGATATTTTTAAAATTAAATAAATGCAATGATTTAGATGTTTTATTTTAAAAGAAAATAGTGATAATATAAAATTTATAACCAAACAAAAAAGTTTGCTTTATTTCATTGTTAATTTTGAATTCTAAATCAAATCAACGTGAAACAAAATATTTATCAGAGTCGACTTGAGTGACATTTAGAATTAATTTAAATAATATATTCTAGATCCATAGACTCATATAATACCGACTAATTCATAACTGAAGGATAAATATGTAGTGTATTTGTCCAAGACTAGCGAAACTCTTCACAATAGTTCCCATCCATTTCAAGTGCATAAAAAATCTTATGCTATATAGTAAATACCCTCTCGTCTCATTACAAGAAAAATCCTTCCCAGTAAAATCCAAATGCAAAATACTGCCCCATCTGTGTGAACTTGTTTCACAGACCAAAATCGGGATGAAAGGCAAAAAGAGAGCAGTAATGGGTGAGAATGAGAAAGAGATGTAAATTTTGATAAAGGGTTGAAAAAAGAGTCACAGTATGAAGGTCCCTTTTCATCCAGAGTCAGGTTGGGTTGTTATCCGTGCTTAGTTCGAGCAAGTCATCATCATAAGAAACAGGTATCCTTAATCTGTCCTGAACAGAGCTACGTTTCGCTTCTCCTGATGGTTCAGGTTGATTTTGCCTTTGTAATGCAGAAAAGGGTTTCTCAGAAACATTACCCTGAGGCCTGCTACCAAATGTAGAGGCCTCCCCTAAAGAAGAATTCTCTTTCCTTTGCAGAGGTGGCCTGTTAACATTTGGCTGCCTAAACTGCTTCTGCATTGTTATAAACAATGACGAGAAACTAGATATTAGAGAGCAAATTATGACATGATGAATAATCTTGGTTCTGACACAAATTCATAACACTTGTTCAAAAGAAAACAGTACAACTCTGACACTAACCGGGCTGCTTCTTCCTATCCTAGATAATAGGAACATGCAAAACAAACTTATTTTCATTCAATACAAACACAGATATGTAAAGTGTTTTGACACAAAACATAAAGGTCAGTCACACACCTCAAACTCCTTTGCTTTTTTCATGATCTCTTTGTAAGCATTTGGTTCTCGAACCTTAATGATGCTCCACAATACCCCACCCCTTGTCCGAAATCGGCTACCATCAACAGTCTTCTGTCCTCCACAGGACTGTATAGCATCCACCTGTCATTTCACATTTATTTATACGAGTTTACAAGATGTGTATCAAATTAAACAATTCAGAGAAGAACACCAAAAAACAATTAAAAAACACCAAATCCATTAATTAGTGATTAAAGTCAGTAATATTCTCATTTATAAATAATTCGTAAAATAATGTACACCATCCACTGTGATTCATGAAGAGAATAAGCTACAAACAATTTCAAATTCATTAAATCCTAATGAAACAGTAGAAACAAAGAACTAATATGTTCATGGGCCAAAGTATTCCAAAATTTAAGCAAAAATGCCCTCAATGATTGATCCTGCAAATGCAGATATCCTGGAGAGCTGAAACGAGTTATATGCTCAGTTAAATACAACCTTCATGTGTTTCACCTACATTTATCTGGGTAATCTCTCTAACTAAATCCTGACCCTCCTGGTCTTAAGGAAAATGCTTGATGGTACTAGCATGTTTAAAACAAAATATTATTTTTACTCACCAATTTTTCCCTAATATTTGAGCCATTCAGCTATATAGAAAAAACTATACAAAGAATTCTACAATAATGTTGTGAATCAAAGATTCAGGCCATATGAAATTTATATAGCCCTCAATAAAGTAACATTATGCATATTTAGAGAGATCCAATTTTAGCTGTGACTTGGTTGGCTACTCCATTTAGGAGAGCAAGATGAAGAGAAGCAATAAATATCGACCTTCAAAAGAATCAAATAATTGAAGTGGTTCATCAGCCAGGAACATCAAAAGCTCAGGCAGAGGTTTGAAATGATCTCTGATAAAAATCTGCAATGTTAGATACAGCGTTGTACACATCAGACATTATGAATGGTTGTATGGCGCTATGAAGAGTGGATATATTCAGCTAACAACAGGCAAATAAAAGCCACAACTCTGATCAAGGGAAAATATTAAAAAAAAAATTATAAACATTGTTATGCACATTCATGCAAGAGATGAAACAAAGAGACACGCCAAGAATAGGAATATCTTATGATGCACAACTGTGATATCAGATAACTCCAGTATTCGATACAGCATACAATCATTCTAAAATTAATAGGATACATCTAAGATACACAACTAAAAATGCATAAGTGCAATCATACAAATCTAAATTACATGCATATTTTTTGGAAATGCTAAAATAATAATAAAAAAAATTATAAATGATTTTCATCATAAATTAATTTCTACTATTTACATACAAGAATAGTGCTATTGATCATATTTTTATCTTAAAACCATTCATAAAGAGAACAACTTTCACATTTGATTTGTCAGGGGACAACCTTCCTATATTACACAAATTTATATGCTTCATGTAGTTGTATTGGATTACATAAAATGATTTAAAGATTTAACACTTTACAGTTACATATTGATTAAAAACATATCGGTATAAGATGGGTGAAGCAAATAGAAGTATTATAGATACTTTATTGACACAAACTGGTGCAGTATTCAAGAGTATTGGATATGTGAAACTATTTGAATTGTTCTTACTATTGCATTTCTTTTAAAATGTTTTCATATAATTCAAACCACCATATCCATAATCCAATTATTACGAGCAACAAATACAATTAAAAGAACAGAAAGTGTTTAGTCGAACAGTTCAGAAGTAAGTCAAGACACGTAGTAAGTCAAGATCCGTAGTAAGTCAAGAAACGTAAGTAAGGGGAACTCAGCACATTCAAGCACCAACCAAAATTTCATTAGATGTTCTTAAATTGTTTTCAAACCTCTAAACGACCATGATATTTCACTCTAAAATTAATAGAGTAACAGACACAGAAAAAGAACTTTCAACATGAAAGCAACATTTCAGTGAGGGTTCCAATACCTCATTGATGAGATCACTTAATGAAGAAACTCCAAGGCAAGCAACAGCTGTATATACCATGTATGACTTTTTCTCTTTCAGCCGCCGACATACATCTATCACAAACCTGATAGAAGAAATAAATTTATCAGAAACTGAAAAATTGATCAGTAAATAATTTAGGATAAGGATTGAGGATTGGTGAGCAGTGGTGCAACGATGAGGAAGCTGTCTTGTTACCAGACATCACAGATTAATAGTTTAAAACCCGAAAACAACCTCACAACTTGCAAGGTTCCTGTCTTTTCCCATTAGTTGGGAGTCTGCTGTACTGGACCAGTCATTAGATTAAGTCAAGCTGTACACATGCTACAGACTCTACTGAGTAGGTTGGTATTTGTATTTGGTACGTCTTGTGCTCATAGATACTCCTAAAGACTAAAGTCATATGCTAAATGTTTGGCCAACTTGATTCCCAACAGGATAACTAGAACTTGAAAACCAAAGGAATGATGGGAAGTGTATGGTGATGATGTGTCCTAACTTCAAACTATAGTACTGAAATTGTTTTCACAACCACATTCTTTTTCTAAGAATTCAATTAATTATGTTATAAATTGTGGTGCTTATTTGAAAAAACCATCTAATATCAAAGGAATGATGGGATATGTTTGGGGCTGCATAACTTCAATCTACTGTGTTGACATTATTTTCAGAAATTTAATTACGTAATAGGTTGTAGTGCTTATTTGAAAAATCCACTATCATTATCTATTATCATCAATACAATTTGGTCATATAATCTTCCTATTAAAATTCTGTTTTATTGTATTACAAGTAGAACTATTATTACCATCATAACTTTCTTTTTCTATTTCAGTATTTAACACAGTTATATAATCAGACTTATATTCAATATCCAACGTCACTAATTGAGTTAGAAACAATCAAGTACAAACAGGTCGCAATCATACAAACAGACACTTACAAAATGAAAAGAAATAAACAATTTTGGTTACGAAACTTGAAAGCTTGTCTCTCAATTCACAAAAAATACTACTGTAACTCTTGTTCAAATAAAACTAATTTTTCGAAATCCACTTGCAAAACATCATTTTCAAGCACAAGATCATTTTCACCAGAAAAAAAGTCAGGTAAACGAAGTGGTGTCGTGAACGTAAAGTAGACACCTTTTTTCTCATACTCTGTCAACAGCAAAAACAAAAACGAAAACCCATTGAAAAGAAATAAGAGGGTAACAGTTAAAACCTGTTAATATCAACGGCACCGTTTATTCCTGAACCCTTTCTTCTGTTTCTCTTGTTTTTACGCCTTCGGTTCTTACTCTGCGGTTTCGTATTATCAGCTTCCACGACAACGTTTTGTCCAGAAACGTTTCGTGAATCATCTTGTTCCTGTTTCTGCTCCTGTTCCACTAATTCCCCTTCTTCAACGTCGACCATTTCAACATCGTTCAAAATTTCCTCTTCGAGAATCGCGTCCAGAATGTTCTCTCCATTCTCCATTTCAAAACACTCAACAACTCCAATAATCGAAAACCTCAACGAATCAAATGAAAAGTTTCTCAGTTTATATATTTCACTGCTTCAGTTTCATCACGCTCCGTTTAATATCGCCGACTTAACTTAAACTCCAAATTTAGGGTAATTAATTACGAGTGCCGCATAATGCTTAGCATTAATTATATTTACTATATTGTATAAACTTTAAAAACGAAACTTATTCGAAAGGTAATATAGGAGGAAAAACTTAGGGTTTAAATTTGATTTTTATGCATGGTTTGGTTAGTGCGAAATTTGTCTACATAAAATTTAGTTGAATTGTACCATCCACTTAAATGCTGATGAATTATGAAATTTAATTCTTATTTTTAAGTTTTAATAAAAACAATATTTATTTTGGTTTCAAATATAGTTTAGATGGTATTTTTAATAATATAATATAATGATTTAGATAGTGTTAATTATTAAAATAAAACAAAAAATTGATATTTTAGAGATGATATTATACATAAGCTTTCATTATGTTAACATGTTAGGTGTGATGATATATTCAATTCTTGCTTCTATATAAAAGTTACTATATATACACAAACTCAATTCTTAGAATACATACTAATAATTTAAACATGGGTTGTGATATAATTACAAAAGAGCTATAAACTTTTTTGTATTAGTTAATTTCAAATATGCAATTTAAAATTATTTTTAATTGTAAGTTAAATTCAAATATATATATATATATTCAAATAAATGTAAAAATATTTGTTTTCTTATTACTTTAAATGTACAATAAATTATATTAAGCACAAAATACACTCATTTGAATTTGGTGTGTTGGAATCAATTTAATGATAGATTTCTTATATATGTTACTTTTTTTTAATGAAATTCATTAAGAAAATCACTTTTGTTTTCCTATATTAATAAGTTGTTGACGAAACAAACTCTTCATATAGATTCTTTTGTCCAAACATCTCATTGTTGTCTTCAAATAGACAAGATGAAGAGTAGTCAATTATGTTAAATTGTGATTTGATGAGCCACCATTGAACCTAAAAAATTGACAAGTCATGTTCTTGAATGGCTTAAACTCTTATTGTTCACACATTGCATAAGGTGGTGATTCTTTTTTGGATAAGGATCAAATGGGGGTTGAAGAAAGGATTCTATTTGGCAGATTTTTTATGGTAGTTGATGGACTCATACTTGCAAGTGGATTTTTGTCTCCTACACATACCAATATGTTGCCACTTATCATTCTAGTCCATTTGCTCCAACACAATTCCATTATTTTTTAAATAAAAAAATATGATGAATGGTATCTTTTACTATTTGAAAAAGTTTGTTGATATTTTAAAATGTAATCATTTAGATGAATTTTAAAAAGGGTTTGCATACAGAGTCTTAATCATGAAAGAATTTTAAAAGATAATCACTTCACAATCTTCTAGAAAAATGACAACAATGTATTTAGTGAAAGTAATGTTTTAAAATATTGGAAAAGAGAGATTTTCACGCAATCATGATCAATTGTTTGTAGAAGATGATTCTTAGTTTCTCGTTTTGGTGAGAGTGCAAGCCTTTGTGTCAAAGCAATGCTTTCTTGAACAATTTGAATACAATGCCAAATAATATAACAAATCCTTAATTTTAAGGTATTTTGTAATAGGTTTGATTGGTGTTATGCTATTTTCTAAGACAAGCCAAGATGGTCCCTCCATCACATGGGATTTATCTCTCAGTTCTTTTAATAATATAAAAACATTTAATAATAATATAGTAGTGTAGATGTATTTTTGCAATAGACATAATATCAAATAAAGCAAGTACTAGATTAACATCATTTACTTTTGTGCCTTTCTATAAATTTAAATAAAATAAAGCTTTTGAAAGAAAACATACAAAATTACATCATTTGGAATGAAATTCCTTATAATTACTTTAGGGTGTAGTTAGCAAATGAACAAACTATTTTGCTGAAGTTATAATAAGGAATGAAAAAAACATTTACTTCATACACGCAAACCCATATGAGTCCAATTCTAAAAGAAAATATTGGCCCAACTCCTTTATAAAATAAACATATTTTTCTCTTTTTTTTCTCTGTTTTCTCTAAAATAATGATAGAATGATATATTTTTATATTTATTTAACACACAATACAAAAATAAAATGATCATAAAAAAACTTTTTTATATTTTTTCAAATAAATAAATAAATAATATCAAATAAATATAAAAAAAAATATGTATGTCAAAATATTTTTTTTAAATATCGTCTATAATTTCACTTTCTAACACTACGAAGTAACTTTGGTTTTTGTTTCGGATTGAAGGGTTGTGTCGTCCAATGTCTCCACTTCCTTCTCTGTTCGTACTCCGTATGTCCGGCCCTCCGTCCTCGCTCCTCAATTTCCTTTTTCTTGCGCAGGTGGGAGACCTGCGAAAGATTCTCCGATGCCAAAGTTAGTAATAAATGTGCAGTAAATGCAACCTATCTACATTTATAGTTTTCGCTATGGGCTTCGGATTAGTGAAAAATTAATCACGGTCCAAATTCAGCCCAATAACTTTTAACCTTAACTTACCTTAAACCTGGTTAATTAACAGCATGGCCGGCCGGTCTCCCAAAAGTCTGGCCTTTCCGCCAGCCAATCCCTATAGGCGGCATGGTTAGCAGGCGGTATGATCGTCCGGTCTCATTGTTGTTTATCCGGATGACGAGCGGCAAGGTTGCGTGATCGTGGAACGGTCGTCCGGCTTACCGCGCCCAACCCTTCTTAATGGTAAGCAGAAAAGTAGTGTGTTTGGTCCACTGTGATTACGCGGACGTCCAGCCTATTTGCGTCCTGTCGCTATTGCAGTTTTGTTAAAAGTTAATTGTTAATAAATAAATACTACAAGCTAATAACACTACTAGAAAAAGTAGACAGAATTTAAAACGGAATTAGCAGTGTATTTTACAGTTAGCTAGTCTATTAAAAGACCACTAATTAAGCATATGAATGAGTTAATAATAACATATTAAATTACTTTTTATCCCAGATAATTTCATATAATAAATAATTTAACTTTTCCCTGTTTAAAAAATTAGATTATCAGCTTTGACAAATCTTATTAAGCAAACAAAATTGGAAAAAGGAATTAAACCATAAGAAGTTAATTATTACTCAGTCAAACGAAAAGGCAATGATATCACATTTATCGAAACCTAATTGATGATGTTAGCATCATGTCTGTATAAGGATAATAAATATAATAGTGTGTAGTGTTTATAAAATTACCCAGTGGGCTTGCACACAAGTCTATGTTATTTGTTTGACATTGACATTGAAATCAATGTCCAATCAAAAGAGACCCTTGAATATGAAAATGATATTATGGAAAAGATTCCACATACAGATAAGTATCTATTGAATGGCAAATACTGTTGAAGGCTACACTCATGCACTCCAAATGATTATTCTGTATCTTTATATTTTTTTTACGAGATAATTTTTTTTATTCCAAGAGTTTTTTTATTATGTTACAAATTGATAAATTGTATTATTAGCTTTTCTTTTAAATTGGAAAAATCTAATTAAGACTCTGGTTTAGGGTTAATGGCTTAACTGATTATATAAAACCATTACAGGTAAACAAAATATTATTAAATATTACTATAATAAAAAATTAAATAAAATGAAATTTATAAAATTAAGATCTTAGATTTAAAAAATAAAAAGAGTAAACAAAAGTCTTACTCCCTCTACCACCCAAGTGTTTCTGGATCTTTCCACTATTTTCTTTTATTCCAAAAATACTCTACACCTCCTCATTATTTTTTTTTATTTCAAAAATACCCTACATCTTCCCACTATCCTCAACAATCTTTATCTTTCTTTTTCTACATTAATGGAGCATTCATATGACTTAGATTTAAACTTTGATATATTGCAAAATATACAATTAAGAGGAAACTTTAATATTAGTGCTTCTACCACTTCCATTTTATAAACTTAATGCAAATACAAAATAATAAACATAATAATATTAATAGTAAATAATATATTATTATTATTATTATTATTATATACTAACTTTATAATAACGAAAGAACTAAATAAATTCCAAATCTTTAATAAATAACTTTTTTTTATATTTTAATTATTTAATAATATTTTTATATTATTTATCTAATAAATTAAATACTTTATTCAAGTTATTTGAGCCAAACTAAGTTAAAACATAATATAATATTAAAAATTATAGATATTAAATGTAAAAAAAACACACACACATATATAAACATTTTTCTAAAAATTTAGAACAAAATTTTACCATTTATTAAGTAATTTGAAGAAAAAAATATATTGAACAGTGAAAATAAGATTGAATCAAACTTATTTAAAGAAAAATGTAAATAAAATTTTACAATATATCACAAGTTTAAATCTGAGCCATGTGAATACTCCATTAATGTGGAGAGAGAAAGAGAAAAATTGTTAAATATAATGAGGAGATGTAGGATATTTTTGAAATAAAAGAGAATAATAGAAAAATATAAAGTATTTTTGGAATAAAAAAAAATAATAGAGAAATGTAGGAGCACTTTGGTGGTGGAGGGAGCAACACCCAACGTCTTAACATAAACTATCAATAATTCAGTTATAGGAATTTTGTCCTTTAATGATAGAAGATAAAAATGTTTATTGGAGGCAGAAAGAAGCTTGAATTGAGAGTAGCAGGCCCACACATTATTCCAGAGTCATGATTCCAGGCCCAAGATCCTAAAAAAAGAATCTCGCAACATTTTTATTTTTTAATTTTAAATTTTATATATATTCAATTTTCTTAACAACTTACGTTGATAATAGTGAGGAATAAGTGAAATGCCACCGATGGCGTAAGGGAAAAAGGCAAGGTGGGTCCCACGGTGAAGCTTCCCTTATGAATATAACCAAAAATAAGGAAGGTATCCAATTCGTCACCCACACGCTACCTGTTACCCAACCTTCCCAATTCGCAATTATTGTTTATCTATATAATCCCTTATTCTCTGTTCAAATTTCCAAATTACAGCTACTTACCTCACTCTTCTCTCTTTGCTCTTCCAATGGCCACCGCCACTTCTCTTTCCACGCTCTTCCTTCTCTTCCTCGCAACCGTCGCTCTTGTTGCTGCTCGCCGTGACCTCGTCGGAGACTTCCTCCGACTGCCGTCCGATTCCGGTAACGATGACAACGTCCAGGGGACGCGCTGGGCCATCCTCTTCGCCGGTTCGAACGGCTATTGGAACTACAGACATCAGGTCCGTCTCCTTTTCACTCGATTCTACTAGTTTTGATGCTTTTATATTTTCATTTTATCAGAAATTATTTCCGCCGTTCGATTGTGAATCTTTCCACAGAATATTTTAGATTCTATGCTTCAGAAGAGTGTGCACCGTCCGATTCAGGACAAATGAATCTCTGATCCTTACCGGTTTCAAAGGACCTACTGAATAAATAGACGTGACAACTTGCTACTGACGTTCCAACTGACTCTTAGATATCAGTTTTAATATTCAAACAAACTTTCAGTTTAATTAAACAACTTATTTTTTCAAAATTCAGTAACAATAAAAATATTTGGTAAATTTTATTTTAATTTTCTAATTTAAAATTAAACGAATATATATATATATATATATATATATATATATATATATATATGTGTGTGTGTGTGTGTGTGAATTGCAATACCTGTTAACAAATCCGAACTAATATACTATGATATAGTTTATGTCTCATATAATAAAATTTCAGTCGTGTACGATGACGTAATATGAACAAAATTTAAATATCTGAATTTTAGAATATTTTTTAATCTTAACAAAACGTAATAAATCAACTTTTAAAATTATAACAAAAATAAATGTTGATAAAATCTTTTAAGATATGTGGTATGAGAAAATCTGCTTGAAATCCCGTATTAAAATCATTGTAAAGTAAAATATATATTAAGTAAATAAAGTACACAAAAAATTAAATGATATTTTGAATAGCTAATGAAGAATTTTAAAGTATAAATTTGCTGTCAAACAATTAACAACTAAATAAGTAATTAAACCTTATTATTGCTATTGTTATAAATAGTTGAGTTCATAATTTCAAGTTGCTTCTTGTATATGGTAGTTGAACGAAGGGAGATCCTCGCATGTTTTGTGTTTTGAGTAACTTTGCTTTGCCAAGTACTTGTGTTCTTGCTAAGTTTTCTAACATCTTATTATAATCAGCAATTCTCTTGCATGACATAATACCAACCTAAACTGTTGACTTTTAGTTTATAGTTAAAATATGGAGAATAATTGCACACTTGGAGTGTCCTTCAATTATTAAAAAGTTGCATTTATTTCCTGTACTTTAATATTAAAAACATACAGATATGTATCTTATTCTTAGGACAGTCACTCGATGGAGAGATGTGCGGTTTTCTTTATCAAGAAGGGTGTGACTAGGATAGCAATAACTCTGAGGGAGGCAAGGCATTAAAACAGAAACTCTGATAATCCACTCTAAATTTTAATTTTTTTTTTTACTAAATTACATCTGAATTTGATTTCTTATAAGTTTATTTTTTAACTCATTATTGTATTTTGTAATTTATGTGTGATGAAATAATTAATATTTTTAATGTGATTTGATATGTCTTGTATTTCTGTCTGTTTACGTTGTCACTCAACAGCAACCACTTCTTTGGTGAACCAATATGACGTAATAACTTGTGCGTATTTTTTTTCTTTAAATTTGACATTATTATTAATATTTTATGTATAATGGTTTTAAATGTTTTGTTTTTAGTCAGTCATCACTCTCCTTTAAGAAATTCTATTAATGATATTCACATATTTAATGAGACTCACGTGAATTTCATCCAAAAGACTGAACCAGCAAAAAAACATGCCTTTAGAAAGCAGGAAAAAAAACATGATTAACATTTTGATACTCGTAAAATATATTATTGGACACCGTAGACAATCCCCAATTAGTGCCGTTTACGAAAGTGACTGCAAGTTAGTTTCAACGCAAAATCATTTACAATGTTATCTCTGAATAAATTGAAAATAATTGACACGTTTAAATACAAATTATGAAAATTTATGATAAGTTAATATTTTTTATTCACTTTACTTTTTACATTTTGATATTATCTTTTTTTACTTTTTACTTTCTTTTTTCTTTAAAAAAAATATAAATTTTATATTTCATGATCATTTTACTTTTTGTATTTTGTGTCAAAAGTGTGTATTACTCTTAATTATATGTTAAGTTTGGTCCCTGTAGTCAATATTTTATCATTCTGTGATATACAAGTCATCATGCTGAAAAACTGTTTTGAATGCTGTCCAGCTTTTATGTCTTAGCTGTGATTTTTTGTCATCTTAATTGCAATCTTATTGAATCATAATGATTTGAACGGAGTTTATAAAACATAGACTGACATAGGGAAAATGATTTAAACAGATAAAACTTAGTCGGCTCTCATCTTAAAAGGATACAAAACTTTCATCTTTAAACCCGTTTCCTGTTTCGATGATATGCACACGGGAAACGAAAAAAAGCTCTGGACTCCCTTAATTTAACATAATTTCCTGTATTGCATAATTATTTAGTTCTAATGTATAGTTTTTCTTGTTGCCTCAGGCCGATATTTGTCATGCCTATCAAATACTGAGGAAAGGTGGCCTGAAAGAAGAAAATATCATTGTTTTTATGTATGATGACATTGCATTCAATTGGGACAATCCAAGGCCTGGAGTCATCATTAACAAACCAGATGGGGGTGATGTTTATGAAGGAGTTCCAAAGGTATTTATGTTAGGCTTTTCACTATCCAATATCTTCTTGCTATTTCTAGTTTGATAGGGTCTAATATGTGGACTGTTTTTCATGGTAGGATTACACTGGCGAAGATGCTACTGCTCATAACTTTTATGCTGCTTTACTTGGAGATAAGTCGGCGCTTACCGGTGGCAGTGGGAAGGTTGTGAACAGTGGGCCCGATGATCGCATATTTATATTCTACTCTGATCATGGTGGTCCAGGGGTTCTCGGTTAGTAGCTCTAAGTTCTCTCACAGAAAATTTTAATTACAGTCATGGATTGTGTTGGTTTGGTTGTCTATATGGGTTTCAGCATGGTATAGGCCTGGATTGAGGTTATTACTTTTGTTGTTTGGTTGGTTTTGTGTGTAGATTTACTTGATTATGCCTGTGGTTTGGTTAGTAATACAACCTCTGTTCATAATTTCTGACGGAGACATTTCAAAGTGTGCTGAAATGAAAATCATTCATTGTGATTTTGTAATCCTAGTTTTCCGTTATATAATATTTCATTCTTTTCTGATCAGAAAAATATTTTCATCCTTTTTCTAGAGACTATTATATATCCCATGATTCAGTAGATCGAACGGCCTCTATGTATATCTCTTTTGAATTCTTTTTGAACACGTGTGGGTAACATGAAGGTTAAATTACAGTTACCAGAGCAAAAGGAATATGGAAAAGGGAAAAAAAAAAAGAAAGGGAGACGGGTGGAATACATGGTTCTTCCTACTGACAATGTTAATATCTGCTCCTTGCTATTTCTTACTTGATTTTTTTTGGGATATGTGAATGGATTTTAGGGACGCCTGCTGGTCCTTACATATATGCATCTGATTTGGTTGAAGTATTGAAGAAAAAGCATGCTTCTGGAACGTATAAAAACCTAGTGAGTTTCTAAAAGTTCTCATTTTTTAAAATTTGGATTTCATTGCTTTTTAGGTAAATAATCCCCCTCCACCTTTCAAAAATCTCTCACTGGGGGCTTTGGCTAAGAACATAGTAAGATGTTTTGAACACAGAATAAGCTAATTTGAACGCACTAAGTCCTTGGATTATACTATGGTGGTGCAGGTATTTTATTTGGAGGCATGTGAAGCTGGAAGTATTTTTGAAGGTCTTCTTCCTGAAGATATCAATATTTATGCAACAACGGCTTCGAATGCCGAAGAAAGTAGTTGGGGAACATATTGTCCTGGGGAGTATCCTAGTCCTCCCCCAGAATATTCAACCTGCTTGGGTGACCTGTACAGTGTTGCTTGGATGGAAGACAGGTATGTGCATCGTAGGCAAAAACAATTAGATCATAAATGATATCAATTATCATGGAATACTTATATATTCATGACTTATGTATTCACAGTGGAGTTGTTAATGCGTGTGACTATCGTACTGTGTGTTTGTTCTTCGAGATGCTTTTTATGATAAAGTTGTTTTTATTTATTTTTGCACTTGCTCTGTTTTTAATGTTAGATCAGAAGAACTGTACTTTGTTTAAATAATAACGTAAATTGCATGGGATTAATTTTATTTTTCTTTACTTGTGAGCAGTGATAGACACAATTTGCGAACAGAATCTTTACACCAACAATATAAAGTGGTGAGTTCTTGTTTTTTAATTTTTTAAATTAAATAGTATAAATATAAGAATATAATTCAATACCTTGATTGCTCAGTTACAAGTGAGATGTGCTAAGAGTTGTAACTGAGGCTTTATTCATCCTGCCTTTACAGGTTAAGGATAGGACTCTAGCTGGAGGTTACTATGGCTCTCACGTGATGCAGTATGGTGATGTAGGGTTTAACAAGGATAATCTCTTCCTGTATTTGGGTACAGATCCTGCAAATGATAATTTGACTTTCGTGGATGAAAACTCCTTATGGTCATCTTCAACAGCAGTCAACCAAAGGGATGCTGATCTCGTCCATTTTTGGCATAAGGTATCTTGTTTGTGCAATATTCATTCTTTTGGTTATGAATTAATTGCTTGATCATGTTCTCACCGGTGAAAACCAATAAACATGTCATATGCTGTTAATGGGAACAAAACATATTGTTTGCTTAAACCAATACTCCTCAGTGTTGAGATAAGTGGGTGCGTCAATGCACGGGATATCATAACCATATATTTGAAGTACTAGTAGAACTGAACTAGCTAGATATTCATACGGGGAAGTGATCTAAAACCGATAGATCTGTAAAGTTAGGTGCATCTCATGCCTTGATGCTACTCGCCAGTAGTAACCCTTTTTTCCAGGAATGTTTTGCACTAAACCACTAGAAGATAAAGGTTGTAATCTGATGACACATTTAATTTTGTGGGTGATAAAATTTTGCTTACAGTATTTTATCTTAATTTCATCTACACTGTTTTTTGCCAGTTCCGCAAAGCTCCGGAAGGTTCTCCTAAAAAAAATGAAGCTCGGAAACAAGTTCTGGAAGTAATGTCTCACAGAATGCATATAGACGACAGTGTGAAACTTGTTGGAAAGCTTTTATTTGGATTTGAAAAGGCTCCTGAAGTACTGAATGCTGTTAGACCGGCTGGATCGGCACTTGTTGATGACTGGGCCTGCCTGAAAACCATGGTATAATTTTTTTATGAGGCCAATATGATAGAGAGATTTTGTCATAAATAAGTATAGAGTAATAGAATTAGATTCATTACTTTTTAGCTTGACCCTTGAAGCAATGATGTAGTTATGGTTTGTGATGGGTTCTAATTGCAAAATAACCTGTCTGAAAATGAACAAGGGCAAACATTGTTGAACCTGAAACAGAGTCGGGTCTCTTTCGTTGATCACTTTGCTTTAAGAGAAAATAATGGTCATCTTAACCTATTTTGAATGCAGGTAAGGACTTTTGAGACACATTGTGGATCCTTGTCTCAGTATGGGATGAAACACATGAGGTCCTTTGCAAACATCTGCAATGTAGGAATAAAGAAGGAGCAAATGGCTGAAGCCTCAGCACAAGCTTGTGTCACTATTCCTGCCAGTTCCTGGAGTTCTCTGCAAAGGGGTTTCAGTGCATAATTCCTGTAATGTTCACCGGTAAAGATCAAAGCATGATTATTGTTACATTATGTTATGTGGTTGTACATACATATCTTGTCCCGCCTCTGTAAATGCAATTGGGACACTACTAGGAGTCGGAAGAAGGATCCATAGTTCCATATATTTTAGTTTGGCATATATTGCTTGTGTTTGGAAACCTGTTGAGAATGGATGAATCACGTTTGTAATGTGAAAGTTACAACTACACTAGTTTCTGAAAATCACATCAGAAACGTGACAAATCACATTTGAAACGCTAATCCAAACACGTAATGCAACTGCATTTGTATAAACCCATCCATTTATGGCATTAGGAGGATAAAGCGATAGTTGCTTTGTATGCAAACACAGGTTTATGATGTGTTTTGATTCAATAGGCAACTGGCAGATCGGGTTTTCCCTAGTCACTTTGCAACAGACTGTCCAACATTTTGTATAATTATTCTCTGGTACAACATATGATGTAAAAATTACTGTTTAATGTTAATGGGGACATTATATTTATCCTTTATGATATTTGGACTCAACTATACTATACTATTGTCTGTTGTTTTTACTTACTTTTCCAGTCTTACAAAGTTACTATTTAGTAAAATCTCAAATAATTTACAACATTAATTTCACAATCCAATCTAGAAAGTTTAGCTAGAAGTTGGTTTCATATATCACGATTAGCTTCTTGTGATTAAAACTAGGTAATAATATAATGATACTCGCAAAAAACAAATAATGATTTCGAGCCATTAAATATCGAAAATGACCTTTAAATATTATGGTAGCTATTACCGAACATGTGATTAGCTTAACAATTTTACATAACCTTTTATCTCCGTTTTTCTTACTCCAACTTTAATCTCTTTCGTATTTTTCATCATCTTACATTTAATTATATATTTCTTTTTATTTTATATCATCTAAACTATATTTCCCAAAATAATGGTATACATAATTTAATTTACCTTATAAATTAATAATCATTATAACTCACTAAATAAATTATTTTTTATGAAACATATCGATTTAACAATTCAGAGAGATTTAACTGTTACATATGATATGTCCCATTTTATATTTTAACACGTTGTAAAATATACTTCATCTTCTCTTCATTCACCAATAAGCACTCATCCCCCTTATAAGAAATCTCTCAAATATCACGTTTAAACCTTTTCTCTTGGGAAGTAAAATAAATTAAATGCTCACACGTGACGCACCGACTTTTTTCTTCAAAAGACAAAAACGAAGGTCATGTTTTACTCAAAATCCATCGATAATTCCTAAGAAGTAAAGGATAAAATAAAAAGCCAATATTTTTACTCAAAATCCATCAACATCCCAAACTCTTCAATCCTGCAATCTGGATCAACCCACAAGGTAAATTTCATAAAGCCACACTCCCCTAAACCTATTATTATCTGTTTAATTTTCTTCCAATACAAAAAGGATTTCTCAATTCATATACTTTTGGATTCCCTATTAAATGTTTAGAATTCTAAGGTCAGTAAAGGTTAAGAAACAAACATACAGCATTGATTACCCATGGTTTGTGCTTCTTCTTTTTTCTTAATTTATCTTATTTAGGAATTGGGATACTTCAATGGCTATGAGGGGCAAGCAAATTATCTCAGCAGAGAGGGATGTGTACGATATGACAGAGACTGATAACAATAATGTTATTGAGCATAATAACAAGAAGTTGGTGGTCACATCAGACACTGCCTATAATAATAATAACAAAAATGGTATTATTAATGGATCAGTCTCGGAAAAGGAGGAGGCACCAATTTGGGTACCCAAGTTCATGATTGGTTTGACCTACAAAGAGAAGGAGGAAGATTTTTTGGTCTTCAAAGGTACAAAACTTCCTCCAAGACCCAAAAGGAGGGCTAAATTCATGCAACGCACCATCAATGTAAGCCTTCACCGTTAACTCTTTTCTTTTACATTTTCCCCACTTTAATTTAATTTCCTACTTCTTTCAACATATGCTTTCATCATAATTACCACAAGTGCAAAATTCAAAATAAACTTTTTTTTCTTCACATAAACAAGCTTATATAATATGATTAATATTTACATCTTTAATTATTAATAATAATAATTTTATAATTTTCATTATCTTTCCCTTAATTTAAACAATTTCGTTTTTTCAGTGTTTGTATATTCTCTTTATCTCTCTTTCTTTTTTTATTCCGTAACATCCGTCGTCTAATCCAAACCATTCATTCCCATTAGAAATATTTAAATCTAATTTATTAACGTAAATAAACAAACAAAAGCTTCCATCACGTGACATTAATTAAGGATTTGAATGAAACGTTGTTGTATGAGTTGTCACGACAATTAGAAAAAAGAATGACGTGATTTTCTGAAAAAGTTATTGTATGACAAAAAATAATAGTTAATACAATTAGAAAAGGTTATTCTATAACGTTAAAATGTTTTCTCTAACGCCTATTTAATTTATAGAGAAAGATATTTAAATACTTAATTTTGGTATAATAAACATTTTAAAGTTCAACCACTTCTCTCGAAGATGTTAAAAGGTATCTTTTACATCATAATGTCTTTATTTGGTGGGTCTATATTAAAACATTTTTAACGTTATATAAAGGTTTTCATTTACTTATATGTTATTTTCACTTTAATATAAAAAATATTTGTTATTATAAAATATTTTTCTAAAACAAAATATAATTTTAATATAAATAAATAATTTTTTATTTTATTTTTATGGCTCAAAGTTTATTCAAAACCAAAAGGTCCTATGTGAGACCCTGAAAATTACTCTGTAAATTACTTGTCACATCACCATTAATGCACCCCTCAATCCATGCTTATCTCATTTTAAACCCATCTCCAAATCTGATAAACCCTCTGCTGTCACTGAAACCGAGTCATATCATTCTCTGCAACATTAAAAACGCACATGGCTTCACATGCACACACGCCACGTGTTGCAGAAGAAGCTTCCAGTTCAGAATTTAGTGGGCACGTGTCAGCTTGGGGTACGTTCGCTCAAACGAACGTGAATTTCACAAAACTGGATTTCCTAGAATTCTCTCTCTTACCTGCACCACTCATCCTCTTCCTCAGAACTCAAATCCTTCATCTTCTCCAACCTCTCTCTAGAAACCTTAAAACTTCTCTCTACTGTTACTCATTCATCTCTTCTCCGTTTAACATTCAGAACCGTAGGAACGTTCCTTACGCCGTGAACTTCATTTTGGTCCGAACAACTTCAGATTCTGTTGACGGTAAGATTTCCAACTCATAAGCTCGTTTCTGGAATTCCTTCGAACCCAGATTCAGTTACATGCAAGGGCTTAAGTTGATATCGTTTACGTTTCTTTGGTTAGACTTAGTTGAAGAGAATAAGAAAGATCTTGGAGGGTAGAAAACCATAAGTTGGGCAAGTCCAAGTGATACTATTAGAACGAACACTGCTATCCAGGTAAGGGAAGCTTATATGTTTAATTTATACTGCATGTTGTATGATCTGAGTTGTATGTATGAA